TTATTCGCTTCTTGTTTCAACTCGTTATCACATGACGGAAGTATTTCAATAATAGGAACAAATACATCGCTGTGCCGGCTCAGACGGCATGAGGGGTGCAACAGGTAGGTTTCTTAGATCTACCATTCAATTGGTATCGGATGGCATAATTCTTATCTCGTTTCCAAATCGCGAAATCGAGTGCAAATTTCCGCACAGGAAAGTGCAATTCTTTGATAATTTTGCTCAGGATAGTGATTGATGGCACAGGTGCCGTTCGATGAACTACAATGTTTCTACTTATTTCCTTTGAGATATATATCATTTCGTTATCAGATGACGGTAGAAATCTGCAGCCGGCTCACATCTACTATCATTATCATCGTTATTATTGGTACCATCATCATTATCATCATTATCACCATTATCATGCTGTATAGAAAGAATAGGATGTAGTAGTTCTGTTGATCTTGGTAATCAAGAATAACTGAATTGCCGATCCATCAGGATGAAGCTATAGATAGATATCATAACTTTTCGAATAATGTGATGTGAAGCAAAAGTTTTTCTACTCTCTTGGGACATCTCTGGAGCCTTTGAAAAGCAGTAAGTGAATGTATTAAAAAAAATCTCTCCTTCCTAGCCTGGCTAGTTCATGAATAGTGATGAAAAAGTTGGAAAGAATCTAGTTCAAGCTCACATAAATACCAGAAGCAGTTATTCTGTTTGCAGGTCGAAATTTGAATGAACTTCCTAGTACGTTGCGGTGCTATACCATTTCGAATATATTCAGTACATTAACTTTGACACAAATAACGGGTAAATCCGAATAGAAGTTCGTAGTATCGAAAAAAAATATAATTAGCAAGTCAATTTGATCGAAACTGATCGTAGGTAATCAGATCGGGACTAGTATTGAAAATTATGTATATAATACAATCCCTATAATACCGGAAAATGTAGATGATTTTTCGTATAAAGTTGCTGTATGTTTTTTTGTTCTAAGTAAGTCAGCAGTTCCTGTTGGATATCTGTGGAACTGGGAGTTTGATTGTAACTCATTTTCCAATTTTTTTTATGTACACAACACAGTGATAGATGTAGATACATGGTGTTGTAGAATTTCGTACTCCTTGAATGTGGGTCTACATGAATCGGTTCCTTTTAAATTGAATATGAATCGTATAACACGCTTTTGAGCAATGAATACTCTGTCAATGTGTCTGCTACTTCTCCATAGGATATAACAGAATTCATCAGTGCATAGTACCCGTCGAGATGGGATTTTTCGTCAAATATATTTTTCAATTGTAACATTGCATAGAAGTTTAAGCTCAGTTTATCACAGACTGAGCTTACATGCGTTTTCCAGCTGATATTGTTATCGACAAATGTTCCTAAAAATTTGGTAGATTCAGAATCTTCCATAAAACTCAATAAGTACTGTTTCATCGGCATCAATCATCAGCCTGTAATTATGACACCAAGTGACAAACCTAATGGCAATTCAGTTTATTTCATTTTCAAGTTCTACGGTACTGTCTGCTGCCTCCGCGATTGATGTGTCTTCGGCAAATAGTACTAAACATCCCGCATTAATCATCATCATTTATTCATTTCCATTAGACAATTTACATTGTATTGGTACAGTCATTTTGAAAGTAGGTATATACAATAGTAGATAGAGAAGAAGAAGATACTATTTACAGTTCAAAAGTTTTCCGAACCCTAATATATTCAGAAAGACCAAAGCAAATATAATAAATAAACTCAAACAGTGCTTGAAAAAAATTCGTTCATATTGTAAAAACAGTTGTCAATTAAGAATGTTTTCAATTTGATTTTGAAGTTAGTCAATGATTTACTGGCTTTTACATAGTCTGGTAACTTATTGAATACTTTCAAACCCATATGATCAGGTGACTTGTATGATATTCCATTTCTGGAGAATGGTACATGAAAATGATCTCTTTGTCGAGTGCTATAATTATGAAAATGTTCATTTAGTGGAAATGTTTGCTTGTTTTGAAACACATAAATACCTAATTCATATACAAATAGGCATGTCAAAGGCAAAATATTGTATTTGATAAACAATTCTCTACATGATACTCTACGTGAGACTTTTGCAATGCATCTAATAATGCTTTTTTGAGCAATGAAAACATTTGATACATCAGTAGAATTTCCCCAAAAACAGATACCGTACCGCAATCTTGAATCTACTTGTGCATAATACAAATTTAACATCTGATTCATCTCCAGTACATCTCTCAGATTGATGAAAAGAAATTTCAAAGAAGATAACTTAGATGCAATTTTTTTACAATGATCTTTCCAGTTTAGATTCTCATCTAGATTGATGCCTAAGAATCTAATCGAGCTATGAATGCTATACACTGGACTATTATCAATATTAAATACCAAATCATCGACCCTCTTCTGGCTATGATGAATTCTTAAAACTTCTGTTTTTTTGGTGTTGAAAAACAAACTATTATCATTGAAATAATCAGAAACTTTGGTCATCAATTCTGAGCATTTGTTCTCAAGTGCATGGGTTTCTGCTGCCGATATAATGAATGAAAAATCATCTGCATATGCAGTATAATGTGTATCGCCAATGAAATGATCGAGTTGATTAACATAGAGTATAAAAAGCACAGGGCCCAAAATTGAGCCTTGTGGTACCCCCATTTCTAATATCAGATTCCCTGAGTTGAATTGTTGAACTCTATTTTCCGAGAAAGTTTCTAATGAAACGAATTGTTTGCGGTGTTCTAGAAAAGAAGATATCCACGATAAGGATACACCCCTCATGCCATACATTTCCAATTTAGTCAACAGCTTTTTATGATTGACACAGTCAAATGCCCTGCTGAGATCACAGAAAACTGCAGCAGGACATTCGCCTGCATCAACATAATCAACAATCTGCTTATAAAATGAAAACATAGCGGTTGACGTTGACCTTTCCGACTGAAATCCATGCTGTTTACTTGTTAAGATGTTGAATTGATCTAAGAACGATGTGAGTCTATCTAGGAAAGCATACTCAAACACCTTTGAGAAACTATTTGGTACTGTAACAGGCCTATAGTTCCCCAATTGGGTGGGATCATTTTTTTTGAATAAGGGCAACACTTTTCCAGTTTTCATATTCTGGGGAAAACATCCAGTTTCAAATGATTTATTCACTAAATATGTAATAGGTTCAGAAATAATTCGCATAATTCTTTTCAAAAGAAATGCTGGGATGTCATCTTCCCCTGCTGACTTTTTATTTTTCATCTTTATATTAATAATTTTTGAAAGTTCTTCCTCGGACACTGGATTCAGAAACATAGTTTTCACATTAAAGTCATTGAAATATGTGAGATTAACTGATGGAATATCATTCATCAAATCAGTAGGACCTTCAACGAAAAAATTATTAAATTTTGCAGCTACAGTATTGGGGTCGCTTATGACAACACCATCATTTCTAATGAAAATTTCCTTAGGTTTCTTGACATTTGACATATCATTGATGAAAAGTGAAAAGATCAAGGGCCCTAAAACCGACCCTTGTGGCACACCAAGGTCGACATCAAAAAATTCAGATGTATCTGAATAATTATTTTCCTATTTAGGATATATGATATTATCCAAGATGAAAATACTCCTCTCATGTCCAAAACATGGAGTTTTTCCTGTAGTCAAACACTTTAGATAGATCGAAAAAAAGTGCAGGAACATACTTCTCTTCATCCAGCTATAAGTATCCTCTTCCAATGCGTATAGCTACCCAATGTTTTCAAATGCACTTATTCATTATTGTGTGTTCACATCAACGTTAATATCATGTTCCTAGCGTCATTATAGTAGGTAGTTTCTCAGATCGAGAACTGTAACTAGATTCGATATAAGACTCTCTCTGTTCACATATAATGCCATGAACAGAGACCAGAGACAACTATGAGAAAAAATCATCAAGTTCATCAAGTTCAGCAATTCAATGGAACAGAACTCATTATCATTTTTTCATTCTCATCTAAGTAGTTCTCTCAGAAACTGGACACTGCTGCTCTTGAACTCCTCATTCTCATTCAACCTGTCTAGTGTCCAGCTCCTTCTGGGGGGCGTTGTTCAATTGAAACTGATCGAACGTAATCAGAGCGGGACGTTTAAAAAATCATCTATTTTCCTCCAATGCATATAGCTACCCAAAATCACCAAATGAACTCCAGAATTGCTCTGAATCAGTTTTCATTGTGTACATATCATTTTCCTTACTTACTTAATATTTTCACACATCTGGTACTTTGACTGAATTTGATGTATCTACATTTCAATAAAACTGAAATATTGTTCAATTTTTGAATACCTTCGGTACTTTCTCCACTTCATCCTATGAATTGCATCTTGAACAAAATTCTTCACTGTCTTTTTTCTGGGATAAAATGAAACGAATAAATGTAACAAAACAATATACTATAAATATCAAGGAAGCAACGTTGTCATTCACGTTCAATCTACAGCATGAAATAGCAGACTGTAGATCACAGAGAACTCCTGAAGCAGCAGTAGCACCACGAGTATATAGAAAGGCTTCACAGTCTTGGGTCCAAAGTAGTTCTCTATGAAGCTGAACACTCTGCTGCTGTTCAACTCTTCGTTTTCATCCCCCTTAGGCTAGGGCGTTGTTCAATTGATACAGATCGAAGGTAATCAGAGCGGGACTATTGTTTGAAAAATTATCTATTCTCCTTCAACCCAAAGTTACCAAATGAACTCCAGACTTGCTCTGAATCAGATATCATGTTTCTTGCCAACTCAATAGTTTCACAGATCCAGTAGGTACTTTGACTGAATTTATTGTATTTACATTTCAATAGAACTCATAAATTGTTTCATTCACGAATTCTTTCTTTACTCTATCATATGAATTGCATCTCGAGGATGAAATAAAACGAACAAATATAACAAAACAATATATTATAAATACAGAAATAAATAATAAATTGTTCTATAAGAACTACAGGCAACAAAGAGTAATACTTTGTGTAAATGAATACAAAATAGGAATCACACATTTGCTTTTTAGTTTGGTTTCAATACCTTAGTGCTCTAATTTTATACTATAGATACCATTATTATTCTTATTCTCATCCACCATAATCTCTGGCGAACTTTCAAACCCTATATTATCTACACCCTTGATATTCTGCTTGTCATTTCCCCTGAAGTGAGCTTCAATTTCCTCTAGAGTCTTATTCTTAGTTTCTGTCAGTATTGTCTTACAATAAATAGCAGATAATATCGAAGATACCACGAATACTAACAAGGTACCACTGAACTCCAACGAATCGATCATACTATGATAAATTTTGACAGTAACAAAGATCAGAATTTGAGCTATGCATATGACTACACCGGTCATTATAGGTCTCACTTGTACCGGAAACATTTCCCCAACCATTACCCACGGCACTGGTAGCATACCCACCATACTAAAGGCTACATTCAACATTACTCCTACTAAGGGCAAGTATCTGGCTACTTTCTCTTCACCTTGATGGACCTCGTAGTATTTCACGTAGACAGCAGTAATCAACATAGTTACCGCCATTCCTATACTCGACAGAGTACATAGCATCTTCCTGCCCACTCGATTTATCAAGAAAGCCAGAACAACTGACATGGAGAAACGTATGGCCCCCACTATGATCGAAGCAACGTAGTCGTCCACGTTCAAATCAGTCTCCTCGAAGAAATCTACAGCATAAAAGAGCAGACTGTAGATCCCGGAGAACTCCTGAAGCAGGAACAACACGACGAGTATGAGGAAAGGCTTCACGGTCTGGGGCCCGAAGTAGTTCTCTCTGAAGCTAGACACTCTGCTGCTGTTCAACCCCTCGTTTTCATTGAACCTGTCCAGTTCCTTTTGGGCTAGAGCGTTGTTCCTCCTGAACCACAGGAGGACCTTGAATCCTTCCTCAGTCCTGCCTCTTTTGAGCAGGAATGCGGGGCTTTCTGGGACGAACTGGATCATGAGGGCAGAGAAGAAGGCGAAAGATAGGCTGATGTAAGCCACCTTGGACCAGTCTATGAAGTAGCCCATGGTGTAGGTGAAGAGGATTCCGAATGAGGCGCATATGGGGCCGATCGCTTGCATGAAGCCTCTTGATTCCGATGTTGAGATTTCTCCTACGTAGGTGTAGCAAGCTGAAGACATCCCTGGAAAAAAAGGAATTGTTGAAAATGATAATAATATTAATAATTATGATTATTTATTGATCCTTCAGATTACAAAGTAATATTGAACAGGTCAAATAAATCAACGTTCATACATATAACAACACACAGAACATCAGTTAGAAACACAGTCGGTTGCATTGAAAAACTAAGAGATATTGAAAAATCAACCCTGAATGAGAGAATGTTTGAGATCATTCTTGAACTCGTTGAGTTTTTCATTCATAGTTAAACACATGCATAAATGATTGGAAAACTCCATACCCATATAGAAAGGGCACTTTTCATTTAGGCTTGTACATTGGGTGTCTAATGTCTATGTCTATTGCGGGTAGAATGACAATTATTATTATATGAATTTCTTTGAAACTGGTGTACGTTTTTTCTTTTCCTATACATTGCACAGTGAAAAATATAGATCAGGTGAAAGGTGGTCAATTCAATTTTTCGAAATATAGGTCGACAGCTTCCCCTGTATCAAGATTGAAAATTAATCTTATAATTCTTTTTCGAGAGATCAGAATTTTAACAGAATTAGTTGCATCACAGAGAACTGCATACAAACAGTCTTATTCGCATTCACAAAAAGTAAATTTTTTGAGAGCACCAGTTAGTGAAGTTCTTTGAGACTATGTTGAGTTTATTTTGGAGTTCTTCAGAAGTATCAGTGCTAACTGCAATAGTAGTATCATCAGCATACAGTATGACACCATCAGAGTCTGAGTGATATAATAGTAAGTCATTTATAAAGAGCAGAAAGATTAGTGGCCCTGAAATAGATCCTTGAGGAACTCCTAAATCTGTCATGTGAATACCTTGCCATTCTGCAATTTTGCAGTATGATTGGTCAGCAAGTCACACCAGGAACAGCAAAACATGTCATAACTATATGCATGCTAGATTCTATAGTTCGTAAATTTGAATGATTTGGATCAACCCAATAGGCATTGCAGATTACAGACATAAAGCATTGTGAAACTATTTAAAGACTGATATTGGCAAAATATTCTTGTTTCAATAAATTTGTCAATATTGGTAGAATGGTTTCAGCTATATTTCGACGTACCTGTTGCTATACCGGTTATCAATCGACCTGCGTACAACCAGTTGATGTCTTGAGCTAGACCAAGGCAGATCCATCCCAACACGAAGGGCAGACTAGAGATCTGGATGGCTCGCCTCCTGCCTATATACTCAGCTAGAACCCCAGAGAGAATGGAACCGATTGGATTTGTGATGGTTCCTAGAGAAGCTGCAAGAAAATATATGGTTTTACTTGGAATCGAGGCTACGCTGCGATGCATTTTCTCAGATCCCCTATTCCCAGGGAACTGAAAATCTTCAAATACCTTCATGCAAGCAAAATCCAAAACTTAAATGAATTCTAAACTTGAACCAATAATATGAAACTATGAAATGTAATGTAGGTGCTCATGCAAGAAACTAAAAAATTGAACTACTGTACCCATAATTATTGAAAAATTAAATTCCCATTTTCACTGCAAAATAAACCAACAATGAATCACTATCTACCATTTTCGATTCATTTCAAATTATCAAAGTCAATTTGGTATCAATTATATACATACATCTTTCCATACATTGGTGACATTGAAAAACGACTACAATTTTTTATCACATTCTAATCGATTCTCATAAAGGTGTTCTCACATTTGATATTATATTAGGAAACTTGATACTGATTCAAATCATTTTAGTACTACTGGAATAATAACCTGACTATAGATATCGGAAATCGAATTCATGAAAAAAAGTAATTACAAAAAAATGATTTAGTGATTTTATTCAAATTAGCTTTGATATGTATTTCCGGATATTGTGACGATCGAGTTTTATGTCACTGAAAATACTTTACCTATCCAAGAAGTTTCTTCTGCTGTCAAATTTTTGTACTCTGGAGATTCCTTCAACTGTGGAAGGAGTATTGCACTATAACCTTGAGAAATTCCTATCGATATGGATACTGAGTGGGCACAAACTACAGTCAGGGCCTGAAACAAAGAAGGGTTAGGTTATTAACTGCAATTTTGAAAATCGGCTTCAATTATGAATGACTTTGGTACTCTGTGGTTGAACACTCATAAGTCGATTTAAATATTCACCAAAATATCTCGAGAGTTGTCGTTTCGTTATTTATTTTTTCGTTTCTCAACACTGAACTCTTACTAGGGGTTCATGTTCAGTTTACTTTGGTATTATTTTGATGCAGGTATATCCAACTTATCACTCGGATTTTTATCGCGGGTCACTTCAAACTTATCTGTACGTCATCAACATCATCCTCAAATTCAGGGTTAAAAAAATGAGACGTATTTTCTTTCGCCGCTCATTATTTCAGAATGATGAAAGTCATGGTGATAACAAACAAGTTTGAATTAATGATTACTTATTGTGAAATGAAAATCAGACGTACATTCAATGCTATTTTGAATGAGAATACCTACGTCGTTGTTTTTTGTGAAAATAATCCATAATCGTAATCTTTCAAATTATAGCCCATACATATATAAAGTATCCTACTAGTTGGTTGAGGTGGACACACTTTATAATGTTTACAGGATGGAGACTTCAACTGAAATAAATTCGCTAGCGGAGAGGGGAATATGTTTCCTAAACACATTCGACATACTTCAACGTTTCAATGTATTCACCTATATTTCGCGAGCAATATGGAGGAATAATTCCCTCAAGGGTAGCTGAAACAACCCTCAACATATTTTTCTCAACGCATGGATTTGGAGAGATGGTGGATGCGTACTGATCTAATTTCAGGTTTCACTATACGTTTGAGGATGGCAAAATTCAATTTATCTGCATTGCAACAATTGTTGAAAATGAGTGTTGAACAATTCATAGCAATTTTTGCCAAAACTTATATCTTTTTTTTATCGCTTGGAGCGCACGAAAAGAAATCCCTATAATGTTCAAAGAACATCGTGCGTTCCTAGGGAGGATAGGGACAGGAGGTAGGTATTGGAATTTTTTTTTGACTTCTTGAGATTATATGTTGTTGGGAATACTTCCTCAGGCAATGAATTTCAGAGCCTAGCCGTTCTATGGATGAAGGAGTTTTGATAAAGTGCTGTTCGACATCTTCCGAGGTTGACAATGAAAATATGTGCTGACTGGGCTTGTCTAGTTCGCCTGACTGGTATTGCTAGTGAAGGGATGATAGCAGAGATTTCCGAAGAACATTTCCCGTGGAAGTATCGATAAAAAAGTGAAAGGTCGCCGACCTTTCTACGGTGTTCCATTGATGTCAAAGAGTGAGTGAGTGTGGCGTCACCCACTATGCGAATCGCTCTTCACTATAGATGGAATCTAATAGCGTATTTGTGTTCTTCGACAAGAGTACCGTTCTTATGTAATTGTTTTCGCTCTATCAAATGCTTCTATTTTCCCACCAAAAAGAATACGAGGAAAACAGATGTCTACAAAAAATCATGACTCACCCACTCTGAACACCCTTTACAACAATTTCAAGAATATGAAAGTATATCATAAAGATGTATCTCATTAACATACATTTTTTTATGTTCTGGTTCCCACGAAAAGGGATATCCTGTAATGTTCAGAGAAAATCATGAGAACCAAGGAAAATAAGGTGTTCTTCTTGAACTTCTGGAGGTTATATGCGTCGGGGAGCACCTCCCTTGGCAAAGTGTTCCAGAGCCTCGCTGTTCGTTGGATGAACGAGTCTTTGGAAAGAGACGTTCTGCAGGTCTCCAAAGTGACCATGAGGGGGTGGGAAGTCTCAACTCGACGGGTTAATCTCGCGGAAACTGCCACGAGAGGAACAATTGTTGATATTTCAGAAGAGCATCGTCCACGAAAATATCTATAAAAAAGAGCCTGATCGCCAACTTTTTCACGGTGTTCCAGAGAAGTGAGTGAGTTTGTGAGCGAGGCATCACCCACGAGACGAATTGCCCTTTTTTGGACAGAATCCAACAGTTTCAGAGTATGTTTGGATGCTGCACTCCAAATATGGGAACAGTATTCCAGGACAGGTCGGATCTGTGCCTTATAGATCATAAGCAGCTGACTGGAAGTGAAATAGCTCCTGGCCCGAAACAGAAAACCAAGTTTTTTTGGGGTGCACTTTTAGCAATTGATCTCACGTGATTTTCCCAAGAAGGAAATATCAATCTGGCGGTTTTTACCGTTTAGCCGTTATTCGGAAATATTATTTCAATCTGATCAACTTTGGAAGGATACATCTCCCTTAATATACAGTTTGGGCCACCAGTTTAATCATCAATTTTTCATCAATGTACAGGGTGGGCAAAATTGGGCGTTTTCACCGTCTATCTCAATAACTAGAGAAGTTATCGAAAAACCGATATACATGTTCTCGGTTCGATTTTGGAGAAACCTCGAATGGCACAATCAAAATTTAGATATCTTCATTCGTTTTAGTGATACAGGGGGAAATTGAAAATTTGCCGATTTCGATTTTATTTTCTGACTACTTTACGGTGAGAGGTATCAAAAAATTTCAAACGTATATTCATACAGTATGATGCGTGGAATCCATTGGCATCATCAGAAATTTTATACAGGGTGACGTTGAAAAGATACGGCAGCCAATTATGTTTTTTCTAATGGAACACCCCGTATATTTTGACACAGTTGAATAGTCCCAGGTGTTCTCATTACAAATATATATATAACCCTACCTTTTCCTTCCACAATTTCAGATATATTCGCAAAAATATATTCAGTGTGTCACATTTCTTATGATTACACCCCCGTATCTTCTGTATCTGGACTTTGGACATCTTCTATAAGGCTATATTTTTCAACGCAACCTACTGATTTCCTAATTGAGTAAATTATTGGTCTTATTTCTGTATCTCAAATGTCTTGATAACAATGATATCAAATCGAATAATTGCCCATTTTATTTCTCACCAAATATCCATTTGTCTGGAAATAACATTCCCTATGATATTCATTTTCCACCTTTGGTGAATATATACAGAGTGTCATTTTCAACCTCGATTCTGCCTGTTGATAGCATCATCCAGAAATATCGATGATTCCATAGCTGCTGGCGAGCAGTGTTATCATTGGAGATGATCCCACTTGGTCCATGACTCCATGAGTGTATCATTTGTATCTTTCTGACAGTTGCGAATTTTTGAAGCCTACCTCAATTATTTTTACAGAAGATACGGGGGTGTAACCATAAGAAATGTGACACACTGAATATATTTTTGCGAATATATCTGAAACTGTGGAAGAAAAAGGTAGGGTTATATATATATTTGTAATGAGAACGCCTGGGACTATTCAACTGTGCCAAAATATACGGAGTGTTCCATTAGAAAAAACATAATTGGCTGCCGTATCTTCTCAACGTCACCCTGTATAAAATTTCTGATGATGCCAATGGATTCCACGCATCATACTGTATAATTATACGTTTGAAATTTTTTGATACCTCTCACCGTAAAGTAGTCAGAAAATAAAATCGAAATCGGCAAATTTTCAATTTCCCCCTGTATCTCTAAAACGAATGAAGATATCTAAATTTTGATTGTGCCATTCGAGGTTTCTCCAAAATCGAACCCGGAACATGTATATCGGTTTTTCGATAACTCCTCTAGTTATTGAGATAGACGGTGAAAACGCCCAATTTTGCCCACCCTGTACTATCACCTCCAGGAAGTTCGATACATATTTTTGACTCACCCTGTATAATGTCTACCTATAGCCGAGTTGTCTACGAAGGCCATGCTTGGCCATGCATCGAAACAGTTTATTGTGCGTATATGTCGGCATATCCGGACCCTTGATCTTGACCGAGGCGACTAGACTAGAGAAGGTTATAAACTTGTTGCAAATCTATGGTAGACTGTTTCCTCATTTCATATAAACCTATAATTATTTCAATAATTTTGATGAAAGCGATCGGACAAACTTCATATAGTTTTTTTTTTTTCATGTTCTGGTTTCCACGAAAAGGGATATCCTGTAATGTTCAAAGAACATCGTGAGAACCAAGGGAGATAAGGTAGGAATTGGTGTTCTTCTTAAATTCCTGGAGGTTATATGCCTCGGGGAACACCTTCCTTGGCAATGTGTTCCAGAGTCTTGCTGTTCGTTGGAGGAACGAGTCTTTGGAAAGAGATGTTCTGCACCAAAGTTAACAAGAAGGGGTGCGAAGCCTCAACTCTACGGGTTAATTTCTCGGGGACTGCCAAGGGAGGAACAATAATTGTTGATATTTCAGAAGAGCATCGTCCATGAAAATATCTATGAAATAGAGCCAAATCGACAACTCTTCTACGGTGTTCCAGAGAAGTGAGTGAGTTTGTGAGCGAGGCATCACCCACGAGACGAAGTGCACTTTTTTGGGCAGAATCCAACAGTTTCAGGGTATGTTTGGATGCTGCACTCCAAATATGGGAACAGTATTCCAGGACAGGTCGGAGCTGTGCCTTATAGATCATAAGAAGCTGACTGAAAGTGAAATAGCTCCTGGCCCAAAACAGAAAATCAAGTTCTTGGGATGCACTTTTAGCAATTGATCTCACGTGATTTTCCCAAGAAAGGTTATTACTGATAGTAATAACAAGCATCGAAATGGATGTTTTCAAAGGTATGGTTACTCCTGACAAGCTTATGTTGGGCACAGTGAGATCGGCTTTCCTAGAGAAAAGGCATGCTTGTGTTTTGTTTGCATTGAAATCTACCAATTCTAACTCAAACAAAGCCAAAATTTGAAGAACAATCGTCAACAAATTGTATTTACATTATCCATTGTGTTCGTGGATAGCTTTATATAGGTGAAATGAAGAGACCTCTTTCAGTAAGGACGAAGGAACATAAGTACAATATAAAGAAAAGACACATTGACAAATCGAAACTAGCTGAACATATTCTTACTGAAGATGGTTGTGTCTCAGAAATATATCAAGAGAACTGTAATATTAGATAATGGACCATCACAATCAAAACATGGATGTCCTGAAGTATACCAAAA